TTATTCTTTTTCCCCTCCTTCTTTTTTTTTCCAACAATTGGAAAAAAAAAAAAAAAAAAAAAAAAAAAAAAAAAAACTTAGGAATTTGCTCCAGGGGAGTTCAAAGTTCCCTGTTTTTGTATTGTTTGTTTTAAAACACAAAGTTTTGCCATATGGTCAGACCAGCAAAATGGAAGAATTCATCCAAGGATAAAAGGACGGAATGGGTGAAGAATGACGTACTGATCAGATGAGGCGCTCATGAGGATTGGATTATTGCAGTGAGATTGTGCACTGCTGGAAATAAGATGCGTTTGCTGGATTTATTTAGGGAAGTTTCTTTCTTTTTGCTGTGACTCTCTTTCACTTTTATGAAGCTTTGAGGAGCATAGTCAGTATGTGAAAGAACAAGAACTATCACTTTATCATACTGAGGATTCAACAAAATGCATAGCTGATCACTGATCAGTAATTGCTACACAAGAAATGTCCATCGCTTTAGTGCAGAACTTGCCGGAATTTCCAATAGAGAAGTGAAACTGTAGACATACATGACAATAGCCACAGTTTTCCAGCTACATTCTGTAAGTAAATGTTTTCAAATCTACACTTGCATAATGTAATCATGGGGCAAACTGAATTATTTTTTATTTATTTTTTTAACAAAATAACACCCTTGCATTTATTCCCACTCATCAGTCAGACATGATTAAAATGTTGCAACACAGCATTTTGAAGTAGGTTTGCCCTGCATAAATCTCAGATGTTTAGTTTGACTGACAGTAAGAAAAGAGACATCCTAAAATGACCAAGTTGCATGCATGGCTGCGGGTTGATCGAAAGTGAGTAGCGTGGCAGACTTTCCTCAGACTAATGCCAGAAACTGGCAGATGGCTACAAGAAATGTCTCTCTGAACATATTTCAGCTGAAGGTGGAAACAGTAGCATTTGAGTGCATGATGTTTCCCTGAGAACAGAAGATAGATTTCTGTTAAGATCTGTTGTATAAAGTTCAGAAGAAAATTTTTGGCTGTGCAAGTACAATTGAAATGCTTAACTTTACAGACGTTAAAAAAAAAAAAACAACAACAAAAAAAAAACATTTGATTAGACCATGATAGTTGAAATATCACAAAAAATGTGATATTTCATGGGGGCTCCTAAGTTTTTGAATTACTCTAGCATTCACTCTTGTCTAAGTGCAGTCATGTCGTTCTTTGAAAACTTTCGAAATTTTAAATACCTGAAACAGTTTGGGAGACTAACATTAAAATTGAGAAATGTTCAAAAGCGGCCCAGTAAAGTAAATGCAGAAACAGCAACCAGTAAACTTTTAAAAGTAGGGGAACCAGTTGAACAGGGTCTCTGGTTGTGAAGACATGTTTCTTTCATTGCAAGTCGCCCGCTCCACAAATTGACCGATGCGCAAACAGTTCATCAAACAGGGCCAAAACGATCAAAGCTTAAGTGTAGATAACTCTCCCATAGAAATTCAGCGACAACCATTCCAAAGATTTGTTCCTCTACTATATTGAGGGGATTGTTGTGCTGCACTGCAAACATTTGCAAACCAAATCTTTTGTGAAACAGGCAGGAAAGATTTGACACGAGCAAAAACAACTTATTGCAGCATTCACCACCTCATTAGCATGTTCTAAACTTCTAAAAGCGATTGTTTTGGACTTCAGGCGTTGTGCTTAATCTACTGGCTGTTTTTTTTTTTTGTTTTTGTTTTTTTTTAGATGCAGTCATTCTATTGAAGAAGCTGATCTTTCCACATGCATTTGTGAAACCTATAGCAATACAAATATCTGGTAATGGCGCATATCAAATGACAGCAGCTGTAGCTCTGACAAAGGCTGCGAGAGAGCGTCACTTAAAGTTAGATAATACTGTCTCGCTGGAAGAAACCTGGTTGTGGTTAAATGGCAACGTGTATGACAGAGTGACATTTCAACCAGTCTTTCAACTGGTTGAAATGCCTTTTAATTGCATTGACCTTTTTCTGCTCTTTAACAACAAAAAACATTCCCCACCTGTTTTGCAGGATTTTCCCTGAGTCGCTGCGCTGGTTGCTGGCAACCCAGCAGTACTGCCGCTCCAAATGGATCATGGGACACATAGAAAAGAAAAACAAAGTGAACCTGGAACGTGATGCAGATAACATCCTCGCAGGTAATAAACCAATCACATTTTCCAATTTATAGATATCAGATTCAATTTGTAATGTCATAGAGGTGCGTCTCAATAAATCAAAATTGTGATTGAAAAGTTTTTTTTTTTTTTGTAATTTATTCCAGAAAGTAAAATTTATGAGTTATATAGATATATTACACACAGTAATGTATCAATGGTTTATTCATGAGAATTTCAATAATTATGGCTTACAACCAATTAAACCCAGCAATTTAGTTAAAATATGTCACAAAAGGTCAAGTTGACTGATCACAGAAGTCTGTGTCCAAAGCATATTGATGGAAAACATAGTGGAAGAAAAAAAAAGTATTTTGGTTTCTTTCTTTCACTAACATTGGCCCACTGAAAAGTGTGTCAATGTGCAGTGCAGTATATGCATTTTATACTTGCGTAAAGCTCTTTTTGCATGTATTAACACAATAATGCATTTGGCGTATAGAGATTGGCCTGTGGTTTTTGTTTTAAACTGCTATGGAAGTCAAGGTTGCTTTAATAATGACCTTTGGTTTATCTACAGTGTTTGTTCTGATATCTATCATCTTCCCTCCAGTAATTCCTCATATTTTGTCTATGGGGTTAAGATCAGAGGGAAAGTTCAGACTCTTAAAACGGCCTCGTTTTTACCACCAGTTCCAGGGTTCTCTTATCCATGGTGCTCGTGAACTTTTTTTCTACCACACGTTTTCCCTCCACTTAAGATCTTATTGGTATTCTTGGATACAGTGCGCTGTAAACAGCCCGCATTTTTAGCAATGACATTTTGAGGCTTACCAGCCCCCCCTTGGAGATTATAAATGGTGGGTTGCTGAAAAAGTGTCCAGTCGGCATTCTTATCTGTGTCACAAAAATCTCACCTATTGGTATTCATTTACTGAACTGAAGTTTGCGTTTTCATTAAATTGTATTGACAAAAATGAACAGAGAAAAAAAAGTATATTACTTTATTTTTATTGAATTGGTGTAGGGGTTTCACTTTTTGAACTACATAAGTGAAATCCAATAACTTTTCATTACTATTCTAATATACTCAGATGCACAGGTATATTAAAAAAGTTAGATTCAACTAAACATTTAGTGAAAGCATTTTATTTATTGTCATATGCCAAGCCTGTTCACTCAGTCTGAAAGACACTCGTTTCTCCAGCTGTGCTTTCCTAAATTAGACAAATTGACAAGGTTATGTGGATTTCCTGTCTTGTTACCATAGTAACATTCCACTAAAGTGGTGGCAGTGGGAGCTGCACATTACATTATGACACACTCAAGCGTTTATTAATTTTATTACAGCCCGTACAACTGAGGATGAGCTGAAGCAAATGGTCAGATGGCAGATGGGGGCAGGTCAGGCACTTTGACCCTGTGTACATTTTTCTGTTCTCAGGGGACCGGTCAGAGCCAAAGCAGACCGATCTGTGTTGATGACATGGCACATTGTATTTGTGTCGAGCTGTAAAAGTGAATCACTGATTAACATGCTGCCTTTTTGTAGGTTTTGCTCTGTGAAATCAAGCAACTTTGAAACGTAAAAGGATCCGTTTCTGGAAACAAGCCCAAAGGGGGAACCAATGATTGTTAAAGTAGCACTTTTTTTTTTTTTTTTTTTCACTAGACAACAGTGGGTGTGAGCTGATGCAGCAGTTGGGCAGAAAATCTGCTACCGTATGCTTAAATTGTTCCCCGCTCAGACTTATATAGGCCGTCTCAGTACAAGAAGAGTTCCCGCACACTGTCACATGCGGTGCATAAAATGATGCTAATTACGCCATCTTTGGAAAATTCACTCGATGATGTGAGCAGGAATAACCTTACTCAGTGTTTTGAGTCTTGGCCAGGGAATCACCAGAAAGACTGCAGGGCTTCTGCCCGAGATGAATTTCAGGGGGTGTGTTGTGTTTCTGTGGCAACCTCAAATCTAGTATCAAAACATCCACTGTGTGCTGCGTCACCCTGCCGTACAGGGTGTGTTGCTTTCTCAGAAACCTGTTGTATTCAGTCAACCGAGTCTCGCGTGAAACCTGCGCGCTCAATATTGTGTGGCTTTATTATTGGATCAATGTCAAGTTTTTCTTTTACTGATTCACAACGGATTTAAAGAACATTTTTCTGTTTTTTTTGTGTGTGTGTGTCAGCATAACTGTCTGTATTTGAATCCATATAAAAAAAAAGAAAGAGAAGAAAAAAAAACACTGTCCAACAATTTGTCCGCATATAATAAGTTCAGATTGTTTTTATAAGTCTCTTTCTGGGGAAAAAAATGCTGTCAACTGTCCAGAGAAGAATGCTACAAGCATGACATAAAATTTGCATCAAAACACAATCCTCCTGGGTAACATCTTGAGAAAATGGAAAAAAAAACAAAAAAAACAAAACAGGATTAAAAAAAATAAATAAATCTTTACCTTTTGTAAATCTGTGGACTAAAGCTCAGATCAGTACAGGTGGCTTTTAGGTTTTATGTTCCCCACTAGGGATGTCACTAACTACTAGCTATTTATTTTATTCATAGTTTTGTTAGTTATTTACATATATTAGTATATATTTTTTTCTTAAAACAAATACATTTCTACAGAAATAAAGTAGGTTTCAGTTTACTTTTTCTTTCAATAAACATCTGCAATTATTCGACTCATCAGATTAAAACATAGTCAGAGGTGTGTTTTCAACTAGACATGTTTTAACTGCAAATAAACATAAATGAAGCCCTCACTGCTTAATTATTCATAAATTTAAAAAATAACAGAATATTTAAAATGAATAAATATAAGACTGAGCTGGAAACCAACAAAAATAGACCCTAATTTCTTCATGTTTGCAAGTCTGAAGGAAAGAAAAAAATGGACATTGTAACATTTAGACTCCAAACTCTATGGAAACATTCAAACTTTATATACTAAACACTTAACATATGAGACGGGTAGTATGTCAAATTTGTGAAGTTCATTTGACAGCCAAGGAAAAGCTAAGATAGCTTTGATTTTGTTGCCAGCTCATCAGTAGCCTATGGTTGTTGTCTTTCCAATGGCTCACCATGAATGCTGCTCTGGGTGCTATTGTTTGGAACAAAGCCGCAGAGAAACCTCAGAACTTTTGTGGCCTGGCTTATTCAACAGAGCAGATGCTTTATGCAACAGTGACCAGAGCTGAAGATCGCAGATACTCGGCCTGTTTAGTTCTCATATTCAGCACAAGAACTGCTGCGTGCTGCAGTCATTGGTTTCTCTGCATACACAGCAATTTGGAGGACAAAAGTTGCAACATTTGTTGAAATCTTAGGAAAACAAAATAAGGCAAATTTAGAGAACTATAAGAACATGTATTGTCTTAAAATACACTGTACTATAGCGATGTTATATCCTGTCCTTCTGCTTATTTAATTTGTGTTTCAGTTGTAAGTTTGGTTTCAAAAAGTAATCAAAACAATGTAAATAAAGAAAAAAATAAACAAAAAACAAATATTGGGTCACATTAGCATTCTACTAATTTGTTCTCTAAATACACTCACTGAAGAATAGTTTGAAGTAAATAATTAAACTGCTGTGGTTTCAATATTGACCAAAAATAATAATTATTAACTGTCTTTTTTTCCAACCAACAAACAGTTTTTTAATTATAAAATTTCAAAACATCTTCATTCGTTTTATTTACTGCCCTGTATGTTTGTTCCCAGAACTGCAAAATGTTCTTCAGAAGAAACCCAAAAGGACATGCATCGTGAAAATGGCTGGTACGAGGAACCTGTGGAAGAACATCGTCGTCCTGTGCGTCAACTCGTAAGTGTCAAATTCATGCAGATGCTGGAGAAACGTCGATGTCTCCGAGTTCTAATGCATGCGAGGATTTGAGAACAATGGCAGGAGGAGCTCCTGCTTCACATAAATAGATGGGCGGGGGTAATGCCAGTCAGCGCCGCCATTTGGTGCACTCAAAATGCCAATATAAACCTGGAAGTTCAATACAACATTGATCTTCAGCTCTATCTTCTGCTTTGCTGCTTCCCTCTGTTTTTATCCCTGATGGGATTTCCCCTCTTCTCATCTCTCCATCTGAGGTCTCATCTGTAGCTGTATCCATACTTCAGTGTGCGGTGCCCCTGACTCCCTCAGTTAGCATAAATTTTACATGAGTTCTGCCTGTGGGAAACATTAGACAGCCTGAAGAGAGAATGGGGATGTTTGGTTTTAATGTGTGTGCCTATGAGCTTTGCTCTTTTGTGCCAGTAAGCCAATGTTTATATTTGTGAGGTTTTATTTCTTCTTCTTTTTTTTCTGTATCATAAGCTGAAGAGAGAGTCAACAGGATGATATTAAATGCATTATTTCCCAGTGCATTCTCCTAACAGCCTGCTTTTCTGTTTACTTTTTAATCAGGTTAACAGGCTATGGGATCCACCACTGCTTTGCCCGGAGCATGGTGAGTCCAGAGAATGAGGAAAAAACCATATTCCGTGACTTCTATGCAGAATATTACACCAAGGCTGGTATAGCAGTGGCATCGTGCATTGCGTTGTGCCCAGCAGTGGGCCTGATGGGCCGGCGTGGTGGACTTCTGATGTTCATGATCATCACCGCTCTGGCATCACTACTGCAGCTGGGCTTGCTGAATTGTGAGTAGTTCATGAAAAAAGGGGAAAATTCCTCAGTTTTTTTTTGTTGTTGTTTTTTTTTAGAATAAGACTCCTTTTCCAGTGTGGTTTTATTTGCAAACATGCAAAGGGATATGTGTGATGGAATACTCCCGGCACAGCATCCTGAACACACTATCATTACAGTGACATATGGAGGTGTTGCTATAGGGATGTTTTTTGTTTGTTTGTTTGTTTTAAAAGTTACAAAAAGGATAGTCAATGTTGAGGAGAATATGAATGAAGCAAAACAGCAGGCTGTCCTGGAGAGAAGAACCTGTTTGAGATAAACTGTGGTTTGCTTTATTTTTAAACTGGATCATTCAGACTTGTAGATTGGGAAAAAAAAATAAAAAAAAATAAGACTACTAGTTAACCTTGGAATAAACACAAAAAAATCAACTTGGGCTCTGTTTATTAAAAAACAACGTTATTATGAGTTGGAATGCTTTGCAGGGCATGAAGCTTAAACGATTCTAAACACATGCTTTCGAAATGTTCATAATGTTCTGCCAAAAATATTTGTGTCACAAGTGTAGGTAAACTGTTTGCAGATGAATGTGAAACATTACACCCTTTGGTAGTTTTTATATTCTTATCTCCATCTTATAATCCTGTTTTTTGCTGGTGGTTGGTGGCAGGTTTGGACCTGAGTAACATAGCTGTCCAGTGGGATGTTCTGGTGGGGTTGTTGTTCTGCTTCTTGTTTTTTTACTGTGCACTCACTTGGGAGCAGCAGCAGCAGCATCCCCCACTGTTTTGTGCTGTATGAACACTGTAAAACAATATGGCTGCACAACACAGCTTCCCAAAAAATCTGAACGACAAATTGATCATATCGCTGGTTCTAATTCCAAAATACTTGAGGTGTTCAAAGCTGAACTGAATAGTTAGGACACGGCTCAGAAATTCGTTATGCACAGTTTAGGATTCGTGAAACTTTTATTCTAAGTGGTAAAACACAAAATAATCGATAATAGTTACTCTTTGCTTTTCTTAGAGTAATAACTCGACATAATTGCATGTTTCAGTCACTTTATGTCTAATGTCCTCCAGATGGTCCAAAATGCACAGCACTGTTTATTCAGTAACAAACTACACCTAATGTTTTGTTGATGTTTGACCAGGTTTTAATTTCTTGTTTGAGTGCTTGTGATGATTGTTCCCACTTTCTCACTAATCCATATCCACTCATCTCTTTGTCATTTCAGTGCTTTGGAAGTACAGCAATCATTTAAATATAGGTAGGTCCAGCTGGTTATTCCTTCTATTGTCACTAATTGCATATGCTGATATAGTTTTGATAAAATGTCGATCACTAAATAACTGCCTCTGCTTTGATTACTTTTTTTTAACATAGTTTATTGATATGGTATTATCATGCAGAACCGTTTTGTAACAGCATCACATTTAAAACATATCACACGGGTTAATGCATTTTTCCGACAAGGTTTTGAAAATTACTTGTGTGGCATTTTCTTAACTGCTAGTGCTGCAGAAAGGAGGTTGTAATAAAGATTTGGATGCAGTTATGGTCATCTTGTGGCTTATTTGGTTTGGTTTCTTTTTTGAACCTCAGTGGGAAACTAGAAGATCACAAATTTCCCAGTTGTAACACTGCAGTGTGTAGTCATGTAGACAGATTGTTATGCAGTGAGTTTAATGTTTACCCAAACTGTTTCAAAGTTTATGTGATTTTTACCACTTCGTGCAACATAAAATGCCATAAAATACTGAATTAAGGCCTTCAATTTCAGTCTCTGAAACTTCAGATTCTCCTGTCCTTACGTAACAAAACACATTTATTGGATTTAAGCTGTCCACATTACAGCTATGTTAAACAGTCTGATCCATCTGGTTATGTCCCTGCAGTTATTGTGGGTGCAATGGGGAAGATAACTTGTGTTAAGTAACAGCGTTCTTTGTTCACATCATAATCTTCTTTTTGCTTAGCTCTTTTTTTTATATATTCACCTGGGTAAATGTTGAATATTTAACCAGTAAAATACGTCACCGCCACACATTCTACCACACAATATAGTGCTTAAAAATGTATAAGAAATAATGTTTTATATCACTTCAGATCGTGTCTTGTATCCCTCACATAAAAGCTTATTCTTTTACTTATCGGCCTCTAATTGTGTGCCTCTCTTTATGTAGACTGTAACGACTGCAATTTGTTTCTTGATAGAATGACACTTCTAACAAATGACAACAAAATTATGTTTCCAAAAATGCATTGAAACGTTACACAAAGTACTATAATGCATTTACTGATGATGTAAGGTGCTGAGTTAAATTGCTTCGTGTGTCTGCTGCTTCCTCAGAACAGAAAAAATCTACGCTGAATAGGAATTTCTCCATTGCCTTCTCCATCATCGGTATGTTCTCCTCCCACGCAGTCAGCAACCTAAGCATCTTCTTCTGTGCTGAAATCACTCCCACTGTAATCAGGTAATCTACACCATTGTCAACATCCATCAGAGTTTTGGGGAATGTGTAAAAGTAGAGAGGTTTGTTTTGTTCCCATTTTATGTAATTTCATTTTGTATTTAACTTTTAAGTTGTTTTTTTTTTTCATTTTAATTTTTTTATTTGCATTCTAAACACTTTGCTGACTTGATGTTTACCGTTTCTAAAGTTATGCTACTGGCTCTACCTCCTGGTGAATCTTTGAATTACAAGATTGAACTGCTTTCAGAAAAAAAAAAAATTGGGTCTTCTGCAGATCTCTGTTAAGTATGGTCATTTAAAAGGAGCTCCAATGAAAATGCCTCAAGAGCACCATCTGGTGCTGTGTTTGAGTAATGCCATAAGAGGCAAAAGACTACTTAGAGTTGAGAGTCAGGTGCTGGTGTTTGAAAATATAACAGATCATAAGAATACACACATCAAATAATGTCAGAATCTATTTAACAGCAGTGATTTGGGGGTATACCCAGGGTAGGGCTTGCTTTTATTTCTGGTAGGTGTCAATGTTTGCATCTTGTTTTAAGATATGTATATGAGCATTCTTTAAATAACATTGTTAATATCTTTCTTTGCAGGGGTGGTGGTGTCGGCCTGGTACTGGCCAGTGCCGGCTTTGGCATGCTTACTGCACCAATCATGGACCTCCACAATCAAAAAGGCTACTTCCTTCACCACATCATTTTTGCCTGCTGCACTCTCATTTGCATCATTTGCATTCTTCTCTTGCCTGAGACCCGTAACCAGTCGCTCCCTGAGACCATTGACGATGGTGAGAACTACACTCGTCAGCCACTTCTCCTCCCGAGGAAACCGGGAGAACAGCACCTCTTGCTCCATCAACTAGAGCCCAACAGGGACTACTCCAGAGTGCAAGACACGCCACTGCATGAGACAGCCAACGTTGCATTGTCAACCATGGCCTCCACTGCCTCTTCGGCAATTGATTTGACTGCTTTGGCAACGGGAGATTTGTCTGTTACCAATAATTTGAAGGAAGGACCAGACCTGCTTGAGCCACAGGACCCCAGCGGTCACTCCTCTCCATTTCCACTATCAGCCTCTGCAATGACCCGAGGTAAAGACATCATCATACAAGCTAACAAAGAATGGCTGCTGTCTTCCAGTCCTTTACACAAAGCCCCATGCGCCACAGATCCACTTTTAGCAGATGCAGAAGAACTTTTGGCAGTTCAGGAACCTGCAGACATACTAAAAGAGAATATCCATCTTGAAGTAAATGACACGGCTCCTTCTCCCAAAAGTAAGGATGGTACTGGGACTGCTGCTTTGCATGGCTCTTCACCTCCCATTGTCCCCCAAACATTGCCGGCCTCCTTGCTGATTTGCACAACCCCTGTCATTGAGCCCCGTCCTAGTTCCACACTAGAGTCCCCCAGCCCACTGGAAAATGACATTGATGAGATCATTACAACATCCAAGCCGCCGGTATTTGAGGAGGCTCCTGATATTTTAGAAGACCTCCCTCCAACATCAGACCTGGACCGACCCGCCCAACCTTCACCCCCCATTGCCTCACAGTTTGATATTCCCCTTGAGGTAGAAAACATATTTGATTCTGCATGTACTCCTAATATTAGAAACTCACAGCCACCTCATTTAGATCTGGCGTCCTCCAATGGTAAAGATTTCTCTTCTCATTCCTCTACTCCTCCAAGTTTAGTAGATGTGTCACCAAGACACATGTGTGCTCCACCTACTGACTCAGATCCCACACCCTTTGCTGACTTTTCCTCCGTCAGCACCACAGCAAGAAGTCCAACTGTCCTCCCTGTCACAGACATTGTGAATACCTTACATCTAGAATCATCCACAGACATTGTACAAGATTCTGTCGTTTCTCTAGATTTAGATTCTGTACAGTCAAATTCCAATGTGGATGTAGTCCCTGCTGAGGCAGCTCCCATCTCTCTAATGGACAGCACTGTGTCCTCCCCCATAGACTCTGGTGTCATAGCTACCATGGACAGGGAGACTTCCAGCACTGAAAACAACACTGTCAATAGCACAGCGTCGACATGATTATGTGTTGCAGCCAAAAAAATAAAATAAAATAAAATAAAAAAATGTGAAGCTTTATGTGTCCCACCAAGAGGCAGCCACCTACATCCATAAAACAGCATGGAGCTTGGGAGGGTGAGGGGGGAACAAGAACTGCCAAGCCCAGACTTCAGGTACTTTATGAAGACTGTTCCAAACTGGATCTGAGTAGACTTGTCATACACAAGCTGCTTTATGTTCTTCAGTGCTTCTCCAACCTCCCTTGTGTCATCTTGGATTTCGCCAATAACTGAAGACCACACAAGTGAGAGACTGCAGCACTGGCTGGTTTGTAACGATGTAATGTCAACATCTGCTCTTCAGGAACATGACTGGAAATCACCAGCGTATAAAGTACTCTTTCTTTTTTTTTTTTTTTTTTTCCGAAAATAAATAATTTAATTTAACAACTTTGGGTGAGAGAAAGAGGGGAACACCACTGTCATTTTGAATGCCCATGATTACAGAGATGTCATCAGCTCTGATGAAGAAATAAAAAGCCAACGATAACAATGGATGCCACCAATGCTTTTGCTTAAATAAAATGTTTTGAATTTGCATCTATGAAAAAGGCCTTACATATGGACAAAGAAAATTGGAATGTTATAAAGTACTTTTGCTATTGTAAATGTAAATGATTTAAATTGGAAACCTTGTTTTATTTATTTCATTTTTTTTTTTTCACCAAATACAAATACCAAATACTGCCCTAACCAAAATGAACATTGATGTAGTGCCAAAACATAAATAGCAGTACAGTGTTTTTCCTGTCTGGGGAAATTTATAGGAGACCTATAAAGAGAATGTGAAGTTGATCTTGTACCATGTTGAATTTTGGATGACTGGGTTTGTTTATGTGCCAACTTCTCTAGAGTTCTCATCTCTAAGGCTGTTTTCCATTCGGGAACCCAACACATTTCTCTTTAACTTCATAATTTTAGATTTCTAATGAGGTTCTTGACCCTAATATATTATGTCTCAGCACATTTAATCTCAGCATAGAAAAGGACAAATATGCCTTTTCACTGCTGTCTAAAAATGACCTTGTTTTTAACCATATGCTGCACTATGAAATCAACAGACAACTATATTCACTTGAAGTAATTCTAGTCGATTTGCTTTCTTTAATGAGACGTTCAAGAGAATTGGGTCTTGAAGGCAAGGGGATTTCAGTGGGACACTGGCTTCTTTCTTGAGGCATCCCTTATGAGATTTACAGAATGCAGATTCATTGGAGTCCATATCATTTTATCGATTGCTATTGTGTTTTTTTTTGTTTTGTGCTTGTTTTTTTTTGTTTGGTTTTTTTGGTTATGAAATGTATTTTTCTTTGAGGGAAAAAAATAACCGCTCTCCCCTTCTCTGGCAACACTCGACAACCAGCCTCTTGGATAAAGCAATCAGAGAAAGGCACAGTTAAAAATAGATGGCACTCCCATCTCAATACGCAAATCCAAATGTGGCGTAACATCAGTCTTTGTTTCCAAACTCTTCTCAGACTAAATAATGAATACCACTATATGTGTTGTTTTTTTTTTGTTGTTTTTTTTTTGTTAAAGTGAGCAAAAAATGGGTAAAAAAAGCTTTTTTTTTTTTTAGCACATGGTGATTTTTGTGGATAAGGAGCAACTTTGTTTGAGAGTTTTCAGCCAGTGAAAATAATTGTATGCAAATCCTCTTTTTGTTCTAGATATGACCAAGTATGTTAATTAACTCTCGAGCTTGATACAGTTTTTTATTTTATTTTTTTTCTTCAAAGTATTATTTTCAAAACTCTCCCTGGTGTGCCCTTAATGTACAGAGCTAATCATCCTTATTACAGTATTTGTGGCACCTTAATATGGTGGCACTTTATTTTTGTGCAGTGGCGATAAAGCATGAAATCTATTGTGAAAGTGTAAACAAAACTGTTAAATCTTTGAGGAAAAAAAAAAAAAAGCAAAGAAAAAAAATGAGTTGTCCAAAATGTTTGATGCGATTGCCAATCGTTGCTGCATTGATAACCTATAGTGTGCGTGTGTGTATGTGTGTTTTCTAAATCATGTTATGACATTAACATAGTACGTCATTATTTCCTTACATACATTTTCGCACATACACATGCACAACTAACTCTTAAAAATAAAATGCAATACTCTACACAAAGTGACATGTTCCGAATTGACATATTGATTTTGACAAAATGAAACGCTCTTTCTCATGGAAGTACTTTTGCTTCCAAAAGTCCACCTCTGGACTGCAGCCTACTTGACTTAGACACTTGTGTAACAGTTGTAGTACTTTCGTACGTCTTGCTTTTGAAGTTGTAATACTTGTGTACAGGAGGATGTGTGACTGTGGATGTTCTACTGTTTACAACAAGCCTCACGATGACCATTAGTAATAATAACAATAATAGTGCCGTACTGTATACCTTGAAAGACAGACAATGTCTTGTGATCTGAAATGTGATAAAACTCTGTAGATCATTTATCCAGGGATGTGTTAAGGTGTTGTCAGGATTCAATCCATCACTAGACCTATAAAATTCTCTGTTATCATGTGAAAGACCTGTGAAGAGCCTTACACTTTGCTAATTGTTGAAAATGCTACATATCTTTGATTGTTTGAATGATCGATCAAACTCTTAAATCTTTCTAAGATGTATGTTTGATACGAGGAAAACAAAGCTGATTGATTAGGGGTGGTATTTGATTGTTTCATTATTGGTGTAACTAAGATGTTCATGTGGTTCTCTCATTTCAGATGCATATAGTGTATGCCACATGCAATGCTACTAGACGTCAAAGCACAAGGAACTGCAACCATTTAAAATAGAGTGGCATACTTAAGAATGAAAGGGAATTTGGATTTGGAACGCAATGTAGGGACTACTAGTCACACATTAACTTTTGCATTACATTTCCGTGTTTGTGAGTGGATGGATGCCTAAGTTGGCTGAGTCTTCAATGTGTGTGTTAGTATTTATCTGGGTGTGCAGCCAAATTAAAGTTTGAATACTTGAAATCTAAATGCAAATCTGGAGTTAAAAATAAAATAAACCATGGTAATCTTCAACACAGCACAACACTGGTACTGTCTCCTCTGACATCTGTTACTTCACTTTCTTCCATGCAGCTATTTCAGTGCAAAGAGGAGAGATTACGTTGCTTTTTTTATTTTTTAAACATTTTTCACATTTGCATCCAATCCAACTTTTTATTATTAGGTTTTTGGTTTACGTGTAACTTCAAGTGAAATGAAGGCAATGTAGAGCAACGACAGCACCAGCGACTGAGGCTATAGGGCTGACATTTATTGTTGGAAAGATAAGTTGAAGGATCACAAATCAAAGGAGTGGTAAATTAATGTTGAATCCAGCTGATTAGTCTCCAGGGGGATTAAGTACCCAATGCACACATTTCAGGTTTTGCTTCTCTCAGTTGAGCGACTCAAAATCTCTTTGTTGGGAGATTCAAATGAATGTAAAAAAAAAAACAACCTTGGATTGTACATTTTTAAGTATCACTTGTCTGATTTCATTTTATTTTAACAGACATAATGCACTTGTACATAAGCCATACATGTTGAATTAAACCACTATTTATTGATGAAATCTGAGCATTTGTTTCATGTTTTTTCTTTAATTTTTTTTAAGATAAGCACACTAGATTATTTTGTTTTGAAGTAATCCATTTCCTCTTCTTTTCACTGAGCTAGAAATATCACATGACCTGCTTTTCTCAGCCACTCATCAAAATGGGCAAGACACAAAAACATTCAAGTAAAGCAGAAGTGTGTTGATCTCCATAATTAAATTATGTCATGAAACCAGGTTCTTGCCAAAGCGTTTTCATAGAGTGACTTTTATCCTGCACAATTACTGAAATACAAAAAATAAAGTTGGAAGAGGAGGAGAGGTGGTGGTGGTGATAACCCAGTCACATAAGTGTGTAACATCCTTAACGTAATATATTTTCCCAAATGAGTTCATTTATTCTATGAACTAATTATTAGCAGTTTATAGAATAAAAGAACAATGTTCATTTTGCTCAAACATACACCTATAAAGAGTCAAATAAGAGAAACTGATCATTTTGCAGTGGTCTCTCAATTATTTCCAGAACTGTACATGATACCAATAGCTGGAATTAATTGCAGTAAAAAGCTGAAGGTGACATTCTAAAGAAGCGGTGTATTCACATGTAACAACTTCAGCTTTCCTGAGCAACATGCCATTTAAGATGAAATCTAATTTCTTCGTCAAGAAATTAGATTTTAAACTAATTGCTTCTTGTACATTTATGTTGGAAGATTACAGTTTTGGAGTTTTGCAGTAAAGATGTGCCATACACACGACGAAGCGGTGTGTACCAGTATGCACCATTTAACATCCTTGGTGGACACTTAATGGAAAATCCTTTGTCTTGGTATTGGCATTTCCCTTTTTAACAAGCTTAACTTTTTTTTTTACCAGCATCACAGGCGACTCATACATTGATAACAGCTAGATAACGCACCTCCCCACCCACACCGCCTGACAGAGAACTAGCAACCAACTGAGCTTGCACAGGACAGCCTAAATCGAGCAATAAGCAAAAAAATGTTCCATGCACGGGACAGGGTGATGTCAGGGAGGGATGATGCAGCAGCATCCCCTAGTGCACTGCATCAAGCCGGGGCACTCCTATTGGCTGAGAGAGATGCTGCGCCGCGCCTAACGTCATCCGAGCAGCAACGTGTCCGTCTATCTCGCCGGATCGACGCACAGTATAGAAATAAGGGTGATTTTGAGAAAGACGCCAGACAGGACAGTGGACGAAGCCTGAATCGAGAAAGCTCTGCCCCCCAACCCCAGCATCCGCAGCTCACCATGAGGGAAATCGTTCACATCCAGGCTGGACAGTGTGGAAATCAGATTGGGGCGAAGGTATTACATTTTTCAACTGTTAGGACTTTTTTTTTTTTTTTTTTTGATAAGAAGTTCAAGAACGCCACGCGTCTCGCCTTATCAAAATAGACGCATTTGTTTTGTAGCCAAGTAATTAAAACATAATCTCTATTGAATTTTGGAACTATAGATACTTAAAATTGACAACTATTAATGACATTTGGACCTGTAGGGTGGGGTTCGGTGGCTGCAGCAAAGTACCCCCACCAGCTGAGTGCCAATCTGCCGCCCTGCAGATGCGCAGCGCTAAAAGAAGGCCTGACGCACGCGCTATGTAGTTCATTTCGCGGTATGTTTACTCTCCAAATCCCTAACGGAAAAAAGTATTTGTCTTCATTAGTTTTGGGAGGTGATTAGCGATGAGCACGGCATCGACGCTACCGGCAGTTACCAAGGTGACAGTGACCTGCAGCTGGAGAGGATAAACGTCTACTACAATGAGGCCTCAGGTAACAGAGGAACGTTTGTTGTTAGTGAAATGCTTTTGAATACTTTACCGCAACAACAATCTGTTTCTCATCATCATCACCGCATGGCCTGACGCTGCACAGATCTCATCTGAATGCCACAACACATTATGTCCACATCACAAGTTTAGCTGCAGGGGAAAATAGGTTGCACCATGGGTGCAGGGGGAAAAAAAAATAGGACAGTGATCTTGCTAAAATGTCTCTCTGTGTCCCTCCCTCTCCCCCACCCATCCTTTCTTTTTCTCTCTGCAGGGAAAACAGGTGCCTGCAGTGTCTGTATAGCTGACCTCAACACTCTGGCTTGTTTCAGATTTTCTCAAGTATCTGTTGTGGCATGTTGAACTTCATCCCAGTCACACGCTATCTGCTGCTTGTTGCACACTTCTGTCTGTTTAGCAGAACAACATCAGCGCTTGGGATTTCATTCGTCAGCAGCATGTCTTTTCCAAACTGTGGTCTCATCTGCTACGGCTGAAAGAAGCTTGAGAAACTCTGCTTTTCCATTTCCTATTAGTATGACATTACCGATCCTTTTGTTCCAGTGTAGCCTGCTGTCAGTAGCCTCACTGACTACTGTATTTGAACATCTGCATAACAGTATTCTCATGGCTTTTTTGATTAGTCAAACAACATTAGAACTTCAGTATTGAGCATAAAAAGCAGGAAAGAATGCATAGGGTATTGCTGATTTTATTTTATTTTTTTCTGGGTGGACTGCAAAAATTCAGTTGGTAAGCAATGCAGCATGCTGCAGTATTTTGCTCTCTAGAAACGGCCCCAGACAAAGAGGGGGCTAGACAAAAACAAAAAAAAAAAAAAAAAATGTTCAAAAATAGTTCTGATATGCTTGTGGCTTTAGCAAATGACACTTCAGCAGTTTAATAGATTTTAATTAAATGTGCACTGTTTTGTGAAAAGTGTATTTGCACCCTTATAGATTGCTTATGTGTTTGCTGTGGTGTCACACCCAAAATACCCCTTCCACTGTAAAAGGTATATACGCAGAGCATGTGCTCTCTTCTCTTGCCCTGCTAGATCCAATCTTTTCTGCAATGTTGTGTTACTGGTTGCAGCATACCTGTGGTTACAACAGTTTTACCTATTATTGCAACATTTCTTTAGATAACTTCTAAATAAGATTATTGTTCTTGCTCAGACATCTTTGTCTGATATCAAACATAGCTGATCTGAAATAACAGTGTGATAAAAAAAAGACAAAACATCTTTAAGGGGGGGTAAATCACCCTATGTTATTTTAAACTTTGCCAACATGCAAAATCTTACTAAAGCCTTTTTTTTCTCTTTCTTCTCTCACCTCCCATGTGTTCAAAGGCAGCAAATTTGTGCCACGTGCCATCTTGGTGGACCTGGAACCTGGAACCATGGATTCTGTTCGCTCTGGTCCATTTGGACAGCTCTTCAGACCTGACAACTTTGTCTTTGGTGAGTCAATGTTGAATTCAAATCTTAATCTGGGCAAACTGGAAATAGAACATGTCAAAAACTGCTTCCTTATTCTGTAAAATCTGTGCCGAGTTTCACGAGAGAACACTGCACAGGTGTGTTATTGTCACCGCACCACAAGCACAATATGTCCGCAGCCTCTCTCTGTGGTGCGGAAAATATTGGTCATTGTCAGATTCAGACATCTCTTCTGGTGACTTAGCAGAACACAGGATGCAATGTGTTGGTTACAAATGAGGCTGCAGGAGCTGAAACAATGAATCACAGATGGGCTTTTCATTTCCCCTTCCTTGGAACTAGACATTCATTACTAACAGTCACCAAAGGATGGATGGAGAACTGCTTATGTACCAAGTACTTTATTAGTCACAATATCAATACACTGCTGGGATTGGTGTGTTTAGGGGAGAGTTAAATCACTTTGATCAGGAATATGCCTGAGTTACCGAAAATGATCAGAATGACACTTTTTGACACTCACTGGCCACTTTATTAGACACACATTGCAAGCAGTAGATTCGATGGATATCACGTGTATATTCAAAAAAATTTTGCTTCAATTTAACTTCATTGGAGTTTCTCTAGATTTGTCAGCTTCCCAGCCATGATTTGCTTCACCACATTCCCATAATGTGGTCCAACTTATTGTGATCTGGTGACTGTGAAGGCCATCGTAGCATTGTGAACTCTCTGTCAGGAAATCAGCTTTGATTGTATAAGCTTTGTGACACGATGCATTATCGTGCTAGAAGTAACCATGCGGAGATGTGTAAATTGCTTTACAGAGACAGACATGATCAGAAGCAATGCTTGGGTAGGCTGTAGCATTTAGACAATGGTCCAACGTGTCCAGAGGAAACAAATTCCCACACCATTTCGTCACCCCCACCAGCCTGAACCACTATTGCAAGGGAGGATTTGTTTGTATATCCTTTTTATGTTGCTTATGCTAAATTCTGATCCTACAATCTGAATGTCACAGCTGATTGAAGACCTATTAGACCAAGCAATGTTTTTTTTTGTTGTTTTTTTCCAATCTGTTACTGTCTCACTCACGCATGGTAAGCCTGTGTGAAATATAGACTCAGTTTCATGCTCTTTGCTAATAGGAGTGGAAGTTGGTGTGGTCCTCGGCTGCCGTAGCCAATCTGCTTCAAAGTATGACAAATGTATTCAGAGATGATATTTCCCATACCTTGGCTGAACTTCAGCAAGGCATGTTCACCAAGTCTAGATGCCTAAATGCATTTGCCGCTATGGGACTAGCTTATTTACTATTCCTATTGACATGCAATTGAACATGTGTACCTAATAAAGAGGCTACATCTCAGTGGGAAAAAGCAAACTAAGAAGAATACCATCCTCTTTGATAAATGTGCCAAAGAAACAAAACATTAAAAAAAATGTTTTTTTTGCAGTAACCATAAACCAAAAACAAGCAAACAGCTTTTCTCAGTATAATCACCTTTCACAGGTTTAAAACTTCCATCCATCAATTGTGGGGGGAAGGTGCTATCTCTCAAGCCCTCTTTGGATTAGGGCCAGGGCACACCCTGGTCAGGTCAGCCATCCATCAAAGGGTGACACAGAGATACACAGAAAAAAAAAACAACCTTGCACAAATACACACTTCTAAGGCAAATTAAGAGAGACCGATTATTCAAACAGTCATGTTTTTTGACATGTTTTTGAAACCAGAGTAGCTGGAGAAAACCCACACATGCACAAGTGGAGAACATACAAACTCTATGTAGAAAACTCTAGATTCAAGCCTCGAACCTTTTTGTTGCAAGGCAGTATTGCTTCCACAGCTGCCACAGTTTAAATCAATTAAATAAAGTCAAAGCAAAATTTGTAAGTCTAAATATTATAAGCTTTTATAAACTAAGGTACTGTATTTTTTTATGCATCTTATCTTTAGAGATTGTAATTTGATTTTTGCAACTTTAAATAGCAAAAATTGGATGCTTAATGATAAATAAGCCACTGTAGGTTTTGTGGTATGTTCATGATCTTTATTTTATTTTGAGGTGTAAAAATGTGGTACTACCAAGTGAAACTAATGCAGCCATTGTGCCGATGTCTCAAACACAGCCGCAGTTCTGCTGCAACCAGTAGCACAACATTGCAGGAAAGATTCTATAAATTAGCGATTATATAAATGAGCTGCATAGCAACAGAGCCAAAACACTTTGTGTTTCACATTTCACAGTGAAATCCAAACTTCATTTGCTTTTCTATGCAATGTGTTTATCAGCTGTGTTAGGATTCTAATGTTGACATTTGCAGTTTGCGTTTAATTCTGTGTCTCTATAATCCACAGTGTAAATGGATTGAAAATAGTTTCTTTTTGTGTTGGTAATTTGATCATCCAGAGAATGACATTTGTTTTATTCAGTCAGATTGACTTTACAGCTTTTGTGGACAGCGATTTTCAAACCTTGCCGCAGATTGTCAGTTGGATTTAACATCTGGGTTTTGACTGGGCCAATCTAACAAACCATTCCATTGGAGCATTGGCTGTATGTTAATATTATTGTTTTACTGGAAAGTGAACCTCCCCCTGAGCCACAGGTATTTTCCCGCCTCAGACAGGTTTTTCCACTGGACTACATTGTATTTAGCACCATAAATCTTCCTGTCGACTTTAACCATTTCCCCTGTTTGCACAGAAAACCTTTTATTAAGAGAAGGAATAAATCAAGAGCCTGCAAAACTATTTGAGTGCAACAGTGTGGAGAGAGCCGTCTGTGGATCATGCTCATATGTTCAAAATAGTTTGTTGTTAAATTTTATTTCAACAAGAACTCTCTTTAACCTTTTCTACCATGCAGGTCAAAGTGGAGCTGGAAATAACTGGGCCAAAGGTCACTACACGGAGGGAGCTGAGCTAGTGGACTCGGTTCTGGATGTGGTGAGAAAAGAGTCTGAAAACTGTGACTGCCTTCAGGGCTTTCAGCTTACACACTCCTTGGGTGGAGGCACAGGTTCAGGGATGGGCACACTGCTCATCAGCAAAATCCGTGAGGAGTACCCTGACCGGATTATGAACACCTTCAGCGTCATGCCTTCCCCTAAAGTGTCTGACACCGTGGTGGAACCGTACAACGCCACCCTTTCTGTCCACCAGCTTGTGGAAAACACAGATGAAACGTTCAGCATTGACAACGAGGCCCTGTATGACATTTGTTTCCGCACCTTGAAGCTGACTACACCAACCTATGGAGACCTAAACCACCTGGTGTCCGCCACCATGAGTGGGGTGACCACCTGCCTCCGCTTCCCTGGCCAACTCAATGCCGACCTCCGCAAGCTGGCAGTCAACATGGTGCCCTTTCCTCGCTTGCATTTCTTCATGCCAGGCTTCGCACCCCTCACGAGCCGTGGCAGCCAGCAGTACCGTGCCCTTTCTGTGCCAGAGCTCACTCAGCAAATGTTTGATGCCAAGAACATGATGGCAGCGTGCGACCCCCGCCACGGGCGCTACCTTACCGTGGCAGCCATATTTCGCGGGCGGATGTCTATGAAGGAAGTGGATGAGCAGATGCTGAACGTCCAGAACAAGAACAGCAGCTACTTTGTGGAATGGATCCCCAACAATGTCAAGACGGCCGTTTGCGACATTCCCCCTCGTGGCCTCAAGATGTCCGCCACCTTTATCGGGAACAGCACTGCCATCCAAGAGCTCTTCAGGAGACTCTCGGAGCAGTTCACTGCCATGTTCCGTCGCAAGGCCTTCCTTCACTGGTACACTGGAGAGGGAATGGATGAGATGGAGTTCACTGAGGCTGAGAGCAACATGAACGACTTAGTGTCAGAGTATCAGCAGTACCAGGATGCCACCACTGATGAAATGGGCGAATATGAGGAAGACGAAATAGAAGATGAGGAAGATGTGAGGCACTGATGAGACACTGGCGTTGAACTTGTTATAGAACACATGTAGTGTCCTTAAGATACAGATGTTTAATTTAATGTTGCAGAGTGCAGATTAAAACTAAATGCTTATTCTAAATAATGCTGCTGAAAAACATTGCCATTGTCAAAGCTAATTATTGGTGTTAGGACCTGACAAAACTAAGGGATGATGTATTTTGTTTCCATAACAATGCTTTACTAGTGTAAGAACAAGCACAGACGTTTGCTTAACACAGTTTTGTAACAAACGCTTCATCAAGCATCTATGGTCTACAGTGTACAATAAACGATTCAAATTAAACTTCATGTCATGTTTTCTTTTTCTTTATGAATAAAATGTGTGTGCAAAGGTTTGAACAAATAAATCGAAGCACATTTTTAAAGTATTTTTTCCCATATTTTGTTGCTGTTATAGCTGACAACTGGCGGCATGAAGCCTAAACTAAGGATCTTGAGAAAGAAACTGGATTTTGTAGGTTTGTCCACAGTGTTTTGCTGTTTGCACACATTGTTTTGAGAAATACACTTGCTGTTTCGCAAATGGTGGAAATAATTCAAGAAATGCACCAAAGCTACTGAGAAAACCTTGGTAACACTTTATTTGAAGGGGGGTGAATAAGACTGTCATGACACTTTCATTAACATGACATAACACCTGTCATGAACATGAATAAGCCTTCATGAATATTTATGACTGTTTTCATAAAGCGTCACTCGGTAAATTATGACACTTTTAATACAAAGTTGACATTATTCAAAATGTCTGTGTTATGACAACTTGACATTAACCAATAAATCATTACTGATATAAATTTGTTATAAAAGAATTAATGATTGCACTTTAAAAATTAGGTAACTTTATGTTATTAAAGGTAAAGTTTAAACAGTAATGATTTCCTGGTTAATGTCAAGTTGTCATAACAAAAACATTTTGAATAATGTCAACTTTGTATTAAAAGTGTCATAATTTACCGAATGACGCTTTATGACAACAGTCATAAATATTCATGAAGACTTATTCATGTTCATAACAGATGTTATGTCATGGTTATGACAGTGTCATGACAGTCTTATTCAACCCCCTTCAAATAAAGTGTTACCATAACCTGTAACTAGGATACATTATTGGGATAAATAATGGAAACAAGTCAAACAGACGGAGGCATTGTAATGATTTGTCTTATCTTTACAAACTTGTTTTCCTGTCATCCATGTGAATATTGCCACCTATTTAAGCATACCCTAAACAACATGCAATGGTAGAAAGTAAGATTATAAAAAATAACAAGAAGTTGACGTAAAATTTGTACTTTTGTCTTTTGTTTGTACAAAATACAAGTAATGCTTGCCAGAACCAGGGCAAGCATTACTTGCCCTGGTTTTGATTTGATTTGATTTCCTGAGAAATGATGAACCTCTTTTTTTGTCACACCTATACACACCTTTTAGATTGTGTATAAGCTTGTCATCTCTAGGTAATTTATTACAACCTTCCTGAGAAACACTTGAAACATTCATGCGTCGTTGGAACTCTCCAGAAGTCTGCAGCTCAAACAAAGACACCTTTTGTGACATCCTGTTGTGTTGCATTACTTTGCAATAAGGTATCAAACTGAATCGTTTGAGCAAGCAGGAAAGAACACAACCATCTCCAACTGTGTTTACTCAACACATCTAGAGAGTAACAGTGTGGAGAAAGTGAAATAATCCATGCAAAATTAAATGTGATGATAGATGAAACGGATATGATCAGTCGGGAACATAGTAACAAGAGCATGCATAAGGAAACGGAAAAACAGGCTCCAGAACTGTTTTCGTGCGCCAAGTCACACCCACAGATATGTGGGGAAACTAAGAATATTCTTTCATTTCACTGCTGACGGAAACCAAGTGCTTCAAGATGAATGATGGCCTGAGAAAATAACTTATAGGAAGGTAGAAACATAGATGTGAGGCAGTGCTTACTTACAATAGGCTATGTGTGCTCAATTTCTTTGAGCACACATAGCAAACCAAACAACTTTTTGTTTTGGTTTTTCCCTGTGAAGAAGTACTGATAGAAATTATCTTGTTAGTGTTAAATAAATACAGCCTGCCAGAAAAGACCAAAGTATGCACACCAAGGGAATCTGAAGCCAGTTTTCTGATGATATGGCTCTCTGTAAAGCCTAATTCTGAAAAAGAAAAAGACAACAGGTTCTTGGGAGGTCCTTGTTTAGTTTGCTTTTTAATTTGATACGATCTTTTTTCATCTCAAAACAAAACAGCTTTTTATCTGCTCTAATGAAGTACTGCATTCACTTTGGATAAAGTGTCTTTAAAATGTATGCATATCCTTAAGCTTTTTTTTTTTTTTTT